CCAGCAACCGACAACATGCGTACGCCACGGGTGGTCATACTCGTCCTCTTCCTCGCTGCGTCTCTCTTCATCGTATTCCGTGCTTTGACAGCCACCCGAACCACCGTAGTCGCTTCGTATCCGCCTGCTCCTCGAACGTCGTCAAAGTCGGTATTCGGCTTCATGTATTACAACACGCCGTTTTCTCTATTCCCTCCCAACGCCGCTATTAGCTTGACCGATGACAATAGCACATCTTTTGCCGCCCGGCCCGCAGCTTTCGGTCCCAAGCTGGCTTCCTCGGGCCTAAGTGGTCAGCTCTGGGTCGGCAGCGGTTTCGGAGAGGATGGCCTGGACACGGATGGAGAGCTCGGCTGTAGTGATTTGCCTGGCTGGGGCAGCTCGAATACCAGAGCGTCTCTGAAGAACTCCTTTAAAGTCGGGTCGACGAGACTCCCTTCAGCCAAGCCCAAAGTGCCCAAAAAGGGAGGCACACTGCTTGACCACGATAATCGCGAAGCCACTGCCAAGGGCAAAGCACAGGCGAAAAGTCCCAAGAACGACAACACGGATAATTACCTGACTGAGGAGGTGGCCGGTACTCCTTCTCGCCGGGATAGCTCCGTCGGCTCGTCTGGACATGCCGATATACAATCTATTCAGGAAGCTGCAGAAATCGAGGGAAAGATTGTTCTGCTCAAGCGTGGAGGATGCGGCTTCTTGGAGAAGGTTATGTGGGCGCAGCGCAGAGGAGCAATCGCCGTCATTGTTGGCGATAACCAAAAGGGCGGTCCCTTGATTCAAATGTTTGCCCACGGTGAAGACGTCGACAATGTCACTGTGCCTTCGGTTTTTACTGCAAGGACAACTGCCCAGCTTCTTTCTTCACTGACACAACCCGGAAGCTTTATTGAAGATACCCTCGACGACAACGGGAACCCTGTTCTCAAGGTCCAGCAGACGCCTGCTGCCACACACAAAAAACAAGCCCTCGCAAAGCCAAGGGCTGCTGCTGCTGCTGCAAAAGGCCCCAATGGGTCAAAGGCAAAGAGATCGGCCGAGGCGAAACGAACCAAATCTGCTGCTGAGAGTGGCAAGGGCCTCGGGGGAATCTTCAGCTGGGGCACCACAACTCGCGCAGTGGATTCTGAGAGCCGCCCTCCAAGGAGCGGACGCCTGGACTGGGTCTTGGTTGATGATTTCAACGATGAGAAGGACAGGCTGATTAGCGATACCATGGGCAAAGCGAAGAGGCCCACGCCCAATGAAGATGACTTCGTTATTGGTGTGCATGATTGGAGAGACCCTGATCTCGTCGGCACTGCGGAACAGAAGAACACAGCTGAAAAGAAGCCCGCCAAGAGCGCTGGGTCGGGCAAATCCAAAGAGGGAGGAGATGTCAGCACTGCCTCGGCGCCAAAACTTGCTGAATTAGACGCTAAGCACCATGGCCTCATGTCAAAGCTATTTGGGGGTGATGCCAGTGATGGCTCAAAATCTGTCATACCGTCCGTTGATGAGAATGAGGATTCTCCGACCATCCCACCACCACACGATGGCCCACAACCACATGAAGGTTTATGGGTGACGATCACCCCGACGAGCAGCGCAAGCCCTTTCTTCGATACCCTGCTGGTGCTCGTTATCAGCCCTCTCGTAACACTGACCGTTGTCTATGCGCTCCTCATTCTCCGAGCTAGGATTCGCAGGAGACGATGGAGAGCGCCAAAGTCCGTGGTTGATCAACTTCCCGTGCGAACTTACCATACCGTTGCTTCGTCCTCACCCAGTCTATCTCCCAGATTACCATCTCCTTCAAGTGCCACGCCTACCACTCCTTTGCTGCAACACAGCCCTTCGCGATCACGCCCCCGATCGAGGACCACCACGGGAGTAATGGAAAGCGAGAATCTCCTCTCAGCCAGCGCTGCTGTTCCAGCACCGCAACCTCCTCGGACAAGTCGTCGGACCGAGTTTGAAAAGGGTGCAGGAGGTTTTTCAGCAGAATGGCGCAAGTACATGGGGCGGCAGGTTGAGTGTGTTGTGTGTCTCGAGGAATATGTGGACGGCGTTAGCAGGGTCATGAGTTTGCCTTGCGGTCACGAATTCCACGCCGATTGCATGTAAGTTTCAAGCGCGCTCTTCCTTATTATGAACCCATTCATTAACCCCACGACAGCACCCCTTGGCTGACTACGCGGCGACGAACGTGCCCTATTTGCAAGGGCGATGTGGTTCGGTCATTGGCGCGCGGCAAAGGAAATGGCCCGCGATACGACGCCTACCGAGAGGACAGCGACGACGACGAGGATGATGAGGATGAAGCCGAGGCGTCCGGCTCTGGTTCAGCAGACAGGCAGTCTGATTTGGAACAAGGTATCTCATCATCAGAATCAAGAGACGCGCCACAACGACCGGATAGAGAGGGGGGTTGGCTAGGCATTTTGTCCAATAGCTTCAATAGCAGGACGCGACCCCATCCCCGATCACCCTCGCCAGAGGATCGAAGTCGTTAGAATTTTGTCTATGTCGAACTTGCATCGGAGGCACTGCATAACCCAGCCCTCGACATTTTTTGCTTCCCTTTTTCTTTCTTGGCGTCTGGCATATCAAGGACAGGGAAATAGGTGGATTTAATACTCGTCGTTTGCTTTTTCTCTACTAGCGAGTACAATTTTCTGTTTGGGGAACGACCGTATTCAGGACAAGCTATGGCAGGCTTGCGCCCTTTATGGCAACGATTTACTTTTTTGGCTTGTGTATAGGATTCCTGCCTTCTGCCACGCAGGTGGCGTCTGCAGAGTTGTTTAGCAACTGTATAGCATGGCTGTGCGGGGAGCACACCGTAGTACTTGGCGGATAGTGTGGTGCATTATACCCACCCTCGTGTGAAGGGAAACTTCTATGTTTATGGAGGTGATGAATGAGAAGTACGAATTACCATGATGTTTTGCGGTTTCTGGAATCGTGGTGAACAGTGAAAGGATTGGCTGTATACCAACGCTTGTGTGCAATCATTGGTTCTGATGCGGCACAAGATGATGACTCGCTTTGTTTAAGCAAGTTTGGGTAATGGGCTGTTGTTTTGGAGGTATCATCTATTTTCAACTGGTAATTCTAATATATTAACCCGCAAGTCTCCTAAATGTAGCCCTTGAGAATAGCAGCCTCGGCATTGAGTATGGACGAGCCGGCGGCGCCGATAACGGCTACGAGAACGGTTAGTCAAAAACTTGCTGTGCCAACAAAAAAACAAAAAAAAAAAAACAAAAAGCTTACTATTATGGCTCAAGGCTGTAAACTTGAGGTCGAAAATGCCGCTCTCGTCCTCGCGCACTCGGCCCACGCTCACGGTATACCCGTTGCCCAAGTCCCGATCCAGTCTCGGCTGCGGACGGTCCGCCTCGTCAAACACCCAGATGGCAGGGCTCGGGGCCGAGGGGCACCCCAAGGTCTGCGCCTCGGAGACGTAGTCGCGCAGCGCGGCCTTGCACTCCTCTGCCGCGGGGGCGGGCCGGCGCTCGAACTTGAGGCTGACGCACGCCGTGTGGCCGTCCATGACGGGGACGCGGTTGCACGTCGCCGACACGCGGAGCCCTTGCTGCTCGACAAAGGCGGACCGCGAGCCGTCGATGTGGCCCAGGATCTTGCGCGCCTCCGTCTCGAGCTTGTCCTCCTCGCCGCTGATGAAGGGCACCACGTTGTCCATGATGTCCATGGACGACACGCCGGGGTAGCCCGCGCCCGAGACGGCCTGCATCGTGACGATGGAGACGGTCGTGATGGGGCCAAAGGCGGCCTGGAGCGCGGCGAAGGGTCCCACGAGCCCGATGACGGCGCAGTTGGAGTTGCACACCAGGAAGCCCCGTTGGAGCTTGTTGGTGCGCCGCTGGTGCGGGATGAGGTCGAGGTGCGAGAGGTTGACGGTCGGCACGACGAGCGGGACGAGCGGGTCGCGGCGGTGGTTTTTGGCGTTGGAGAAGATTGGGATCTCGGACTGGAGGAACTCTTGCTCTTTGGGGGAGGGCGGTGTTTGTGTTAGCTGGTCTCGGGGGAGGTGAATTTTGGGTTGGTTTTTTTTTGGTTCGTACCGATTTCACCGGCGACGTCCGAGTCCAGGCCTGAAAAGACAACGTCGCAGTCCTGGAATTCGCTGGCCTTGCATTCGCGGACAATCATGTTTGCGGTTTCGCTGCTCATGGGGGAGGCTTGCTTCCATCGCACGGCGTCTTTGTACTTCTTGCCCGCGGAGCGGGAGGATGCCCCGACGGCGTGGAGCTTGAGCGTCGGGTGGTTGGCGAGGAGGAGGATAAAGCGCTGGCCCACGGAGCCTGTGGCTCCAAGGACGCCTGTGGTTGTTAGCTGGGTGGCTCTGAAGTGTTGAGTGGTGAGATGGGATGAGATATCAGCTCTGGCGGGAGGAGGAAGCGGGGCGCCATATTGAGACCGAATCAGGGCGTACCGCATTTCTTTGTCGGCGGTTGTGTGGCCATGCTTGCTGGTTCTCCTTTGGACAAGAATTAATTGTCAATGGGGGAGGGGGGGAAGAAAGATTATGCCGGGAGGAATATGATGTGGTTTCTCGTGAGTCAAGACGAGGGACGTGGATGATGCCCGTTGTTGCTGCGACTTTTTGATGGAGCCCCGCTGTTCTCATGCCCCCGCCATCGGAGGTGGCTTTTGCTCCTCCTCTGCTCAGGTGGGCGGATGGTCGTCTCGAGACATGGTTCTTTTCCAAGCAGCGAAGATGCATTTTTTTTTTGACCGCTTGTGCAACCGGGATGTGTTTTTATGCAGGTTTCAATGGTATCGGAATCAAACTATCTTCCTTTCTCCTACCCAGCAAGAGCTGGTCATGCTCCCATGTCTACTCAATCTTTCCATATCCAATTATGTACACGGTACGCCTAGTGATGCAGATTATTCCCACCCATATTGCTGAAAGTACTTGACAATTGGCAAAAAAAAAAGTTGTCAAAAGACACTGACGAGACTTTAAACACGTGACGACGGACTGTCCGTCAGGCCAAGGATAGCCTGCGGGCATTGTCGCCGTAAATGCGAAACTGCACAAAGATGGTCGAGTCCTCAACCATGGTGCCCAGAGAGCCCAGAAGCCAGGGCAGCGTATTGAGCAGGTAGTCCTTGTTCTGGGAGTACGAAATAAGGCTCAGCCCGTACGTCAGATTTCCAGTAATGGAGAGCAAAAAGAACAGTAGTGACAGGCCTGCATGCAGTGTTAGTCCCGTGACCGGATACCGTGTGTGCTGTGTTACAATGACGGCATTGGCTCACCCTCGCAGGACTTTTCCTGGTAGTTTTTGAAAATCTGAGGCAATCTCGCGCTTTCAATTCTCTTAGCATCGCACCAATTCCTGTCGTCTTGTCGCATCTTCTTACCAGAGATAAAACAGCGCGCTGACATAGCCCAGAGCCAGTCCAAACCTTGCCTTGAAATCATCTTCTGTGGAGGGATCTGACACCCCACCGTCGGGGATGCCGTTGTCGCCATCCCAAATGCCGGCCTTGTAGGAGATGAACCACCCTGCAAATCCAATCACGTAAATGGCGGCCAGCCCAAGCAGGTTGTTCAACCAAGGTCGTCGCTCTACCGTCTCGTCCTGGCCAGTCACCACCTTTCGGATTGGCTCGAGGGCAGACTCTCTGTGCGTATCGTGACGGATCAGCGAACCCGGGAGGTCGGTCGAGCTTCGTCGGCGCCGTCCTAGGAGAGGAGAGTCCTCAGATGCTGCAGCGGACAAGTAAGCTCTGTCTTGTAAAGCTCGGTGGGCAGCGGCGCGTTGCTGAGCGGCTTTTGCTTTGTAATAGCCAGTCTGTGCGATGAGGATGGCGTCAAGGAAGCAAAAGTACACGGCCAGTGCAATGGCGCTCGGGGCCAGCTTGGTAAAGAGGGCTCCTGTCAGGCGGGAATGATTAGACAATGTCCTTTTTTTTTTCCCTTTTGCGTGTATCTAGACTTTTGTGCAGAGCACCGTGACGCTGTGTCCCGAGCAGAGGATAGGAGCCAAAACGTCTGGAGATCAATCACGCGAGGCTATGCTGCAGCACAGCAAGCCTTATCAGTGCGACGCAAAATTCCAATTTGACTTGCCTACGAGATTGGACACATCGCCCAAGAGCCAGACGACCAAAAACGCCATGCTCAGTCCCTCGGCGCTCTTTGCCTTGTAATTGGCAATCAACTGGGGAAGCTGTCGGGGCAAACAAGTCAGTGACCTCCTCGTTCGGGG